ATGACCAGATGTTCCTCTTAATATGCAACAGATTGCCACTTTGTGGTCCCCACATGTGTGCCCGTGCACACACACAGACAACTTCCTATCGGTATTGTTTCTCAAGGGAACCCTAATGCATTCTCAAAACTTAGGTTGATGTATTTTAAAATCTTTCATTTTAATTAAGAATACCTAAGAATGAAAATGGCCATTTCCTCCCTCAGAGTTCCCAGCCTTGTATTTGAAAAGAGAATAAAGAACAGAGGAAACACCTCCGTGCTAACATGTGATGGTGTGAGTGCATGTGTGTGAGCATGTGTCTGTGTGTGTGAATGTGTGTGTATGTGTGTGTGTGTGTTTGCGGATAGCGGGAGCAGCTATAGTAGGATATGGTTTCCAAGACTAAAGAGAAAATAATAAGAACTGTCAAAGCATATTATTAAGAGGCTGCTTTCTTTCTCCAGAACCTGACTGGAAGTGTGAAAGTGTGACATCCTGAATGCTCTCCAGGAGGAACAGTCTGGAACTGAATGGGGGCAGGGCCTTTCTTTAGGAAGGTTGCCTCTGGTTAAAGGAAGAAAAAAAAATGTTGACATTTCCCTCTAGTGGCAGAAAGGGAATAATATCCACCGAGAAGAACAATGTGAGACTGGAGTAAGATTAGAATGTTTTAGCAAAGAGAAGAGCTCTCCTTCCTTCCTTCTTGTTCAATATAATTACTGATTGTCAACTGCTAACTATGCATCACTACAGATAAGGAATGCCCTGAATCAGAGGATTTGTGACTACATTGGGAGAGGTGTGATCAAAGAAGAGAACCCTGAACACTGAATGGGTCCAGGACAACTTGTGAAGAAGGTGACAAAATCACGTGTGTGTCCCTTTTTCCATTACTTAGTCTTTACCATGCATGCAATGATAACATAATTTGTTTCCCTTAAGTTCTACCTCTAAGAATATTCTTGTTTTTTCTCTCTTGCTTCTATTCACTTCCCCTCCATCAAAACTTACCTTTCCATGTCCTATTGCCTTATGGTTCTATTTTTTTCCTTACTATTCCTGCCACCATCAGTGGCCCACAACACCTTGTACTATCACTGAATTCATTTTATTATTTCAAAATTGCATGTTTTTGTGTCTATTCCCCCTCACCCCCACTAAATTATGAACTTGTAACAGGCATGATCAACATTTCACTCATCTTTAAATCACAAATGTCTAGCTCATTGTCTGGAACTCAGTAAATATTTGTTGAAATAAAGCAAATAAATGAATAAATTTGAAAGCAATTCAATAAATTAACAAGCCCATTGATTAAATACATGATCTGTATTTGATAGTTGATATTATTAGGGGGATTTGTGGGGGAGGTACTTGAACTCAAAGGCGAAGCTCAAATAAAACAACAGTAGAATTTAATTGGGAGATTGTTCCTTCTGTGGAGTTTTCCAGAATTTAGCCTATTTAAAAATATGTGTGATCAGATGGATGGAAGGACTCATTGATACCTAGCATATGATACACTCTCCACACAGTAACAGCACCCTGAAAAGTTTGCTATAATTAGTGATTCTCTTTGGGGTGGGATGGGGGTGGAGAGAGTGGAAGGAAACACAGGGCCTGAGAAATCTTACCCTTAGAATGAAAATGACACTCAAAGCTTAAAACCAGTCATTGCTCTCCTTTCAAAAATTAGCTGCTGCTTCTTACTAAGAAAAAATTGATCATTTTTGCAGTCATATGCTGTACCACTGAGCTATAACCCCACACCTAACCATTTTTGGATAGCCAATAGGCTATGGACTTTATGACCCAAAGAAAACAAAAATGAAGAATAATTAAGTCATATGTCTTTGAGTGAGGAGAGGAGATGACAGTCATGGCTATAGCTTAGGAAAAAGCAGTAAGAGAAAAAGCTTGCCTGCAGAAAGTTAATGTGGCAAAGACATATTTTTCACATCTCAGATGAAGACACATGGTTTACTAGGACATATTTATATTTTAAAAGCAAACTCTCCTAGGGGTATCACACATAATACTAATGCAGCCTCAAAAGTGAGCTGAGAAAGCCAATACAAAATCCCCATGGTAACAATTAGGTAACGTTGGATACATTACAAAAAAAAAAATTTTAAAGCATCAGTGAAATGACATATAAAAGGCTGCAGCCACTTTGGAAAATACTTCCAGTTCCTCAAAAGTTTAAACATAGATTATGACCCTGCAATTCCACTTCTAATATACAGTCAAGAGAAATGAAAACATATCCACACAGAAATGTGTGCACAATAATTCATAGTAGCATTAGTCATAATAGCCTCAAAGTGGAAACAACCAGAACATCCTTCAAAGAGTTATTATAGTTCCAGCTGCTTTTTTTTTAAAACATGAATTGACAAACTGGTCCTAAAATTTATATGAAAATGCAGATAACCCTGGAGATTTATAGTAATTGATTTTCAACAAGCATGCCATGTCAACTGAGTGGGGAGTTAACAGTCTTTCCAACAAATGGTGCTGGGACAACTGGATAGCCACAGGCAAAAGAATGGGGTTGGACCTCTAATTCGCACTATACGTGACAAATTAAATCAAAGTAGATCGTCAACACATGTGTAAGAGCTAAAAAAATAAATAAGGCTCTTAGAAGAAATATAGGAGTAAATCTTCATGACTTTGGGTTAGGAAGTGCTTTTTTAGATATGACATCAAAATCACAAGTGACAAAGAAAACAAAGAGAAAAGAAATTGGACTAAATCAAAATTCAAAGCTTTTGTGCTACAAATATTACCATCAAGAAATTGAAAGTACAATCCACAAAATGAGAGAAAGTATTTGCAAATAATATATGATAATGGATCTACACCCAACATATACAAAGAACACTTACAACTCAACAATAAGGATAAAAAACCCAATTTAAAAATGGATAAAGGATATGAATAGACATTTCTCTAAAAAAGATATACAGATGGCCAACAAGCTCAACATCATTTGTCATTAGAGAAATGCAAATCAAAACCACAATTAGCTGCCACTTCACATCCATTAGTATGGCTATAATAAAAGACAGACAATGATAAGTGTTGGCAAGGATTTGGGGAAATTGGAATTCTCAGATATTGCTAGTAGAATATAAAAGGGTGCAGCCACTTTGGAAAATATTTTCAGTTCCTCAAAAATTTAAACATAGAGTAACCACATGACCCTGAAATTCTATGTTTGGCATGTACCCAAGATAAATGACAACATATCTATATAGAAATGTGTGCACAAATATTCATAACATCATTATTCATAATAGCCAAAAAGTGTTAGCAACCCAAATGTCCATCAATTTGATGAATAAATAAAATGTGGTATATTCATACAATGGGACATAAAAATGAATGAAGTCCTGATACACACTGCAACATGGATGACCCTTGAAGACATCCATGAAATAAGCCAGTCACAAAAGGCCCTGCATTGTACAATCCTATTTATCTAGCATTTCCACAACAGGCAAATCCATAGAGATAGTAAGTAGACTAGTGGTTTCCAGGATTGGGGAAGGAGAGAATAGGGACTGACTGTTAATGTGTAGGGCAGCAGTTCTCAACCTGTGCGTTGCAACCCCTTTGGGGGTCGAACGACCCTTTCACAGGGGTTGCCTAAGACCATCGGAAAACACGTATATAATTACATATTGTTTTTGTGATTAATCATTATGCTTTAATTATGTTCAATTTGTGACAATGAAAATACATCCTGCATATCAGATATTTACATTATGATTTATAACAGTAGCAAAATTACAGTTATGAAGTAGCAACGAAAATAATTTTAGATATGACATCAAAATCACAAGTGACAAAGGAACATGAGGAACTGTATTAAAGTGTCGAAGCATTAGGAAGGCTGAGAATCACTGGTGTAGGGGCTTTCTTTAGGAGATGATGATTATAATGTGGATCATTGCACAACTTTGTGAATATACTAAACACTATTTAACTGTATACTTTAAAACTGATTTTTATGGTATGTGAATTTCATTTGAAAAATCAAGAGCAGCCTAAATCATGATAGAGCAATACATCTGATATATTGCTGGGATATGCTGGACATACATACATGTGAGCTGAAGCTTTGTGGCAGGCGATCTGTGGGTGTCAGCAGCCTCACGCCCTCCAGCTATCTTAAAATTATTCTCAGTGTGCTCTTCTCCTCTTTTCTTCCTATCCATGCCTTGTCCTCTACCATGTGTACAAGTCATTTCCAGTGTAAATCTTAGCTCTGTGTTTTCATATTCTAGACATCATGAGTCTCAACATGTTCAATGATTGAGTCCAGAAGTGGATGTAATCCAAGCAATTATTTGCAAAGTGTATCAAAATTACTGCGGGGAGATAGTCTTTTAGAAAAGCAGATTCCAGGACTGCACCCAAACAGGGAGCCTGCCTTGATAAGAAGCAGCCCAAGAGTAGGCACACCCACATCTCAGAACTCTGCCTCCAAAGATTGAGCAAGGCTCCTTGTGGAACTTTTGCTTGTTCACTCAGGGATGATGCTGATGATCCAGAGTAACCATCGCTGGACCTGTTTTTGCCATTTACTCTGTCTCCTTTGTCACCGTGCTTTCCTGCCCCTATTCTGACCACCTGGATGCTCCAGGGTAAATGCCCAGGAATTCTCCCCCATTCCAAGTGCCCCATGTGGCAATTCTCCCTACTAGGGGCAAAGTCTCTTGTGTCAAACACATTCAAGGACCTGAGGCCCATCTTTCCTTCTGGATTCAGCAGAACAGAAGAAGAGCATTCTGACAGGGAATCAAAGGATACACCATCAGTGGAGCCACTTGCAACACTAATGAGCAAAATCAGAGGGAAAAACAATTCTTATCTGTGTCCCTCAGAGGCAAACAGGAAATCCTTCTGATGGTTATCTGGCTAACATGTTTCAGCAGGGCTATGAGTCACTCTATGTCCTGGGTATTTCTAGCAAGTACCTTCACACAGCCTGAGCCCATGGAAGTCTCCGGATCTCTACAATTCCCCTCTGTCCACCTTCCTTCCATCTCTTGGGCAGCCTGACATTTGATGAGGACAGACTCACAGAATAAAAATGTTCCAAATGGGTGGCTGGAAAAAGTGACATCATGGGAAACAAGAATCAAATCCAGAGGCCGTGCCTGCTGTCTATATTACAATCAGGTAAGAGCCAATCTGAAAATAAGGCCTCTGAAGGCAACTGAAACATTATTTTTTAAACAACCTAATCAAGGCTACACACTAATGAAAAGCTTTTAAAATAATTCTAAGCCTGTTATCATTTTTTACACCACAATAAGGATTTCTTTGAATATTTAAGTGTGCTAAGTTTTAAAAGAAAAGTGATACCCCTCCCCCTAGTATCTTACTTTCTAGAACCACTGACTGGGAGTCACTCCTGGTCCAAGTTGCACCCGCGTCTCTCTTCCTGGTTGTTCTTTCCTGTTCTGAGGCTGAGAATGATGAATAACAACAGTAGCCCTGAGAAGGCCACCTTTGTCCCTTCACTCATGCACTGTGCTCTACCCTGGGGACTGAAAGATTTGCCTCAGGGTAAAGAAAACTTCCAGAATGAAGCAGAGGTAGGACCCTGGGTATACAGTGACCTGGAAAGTACCCGACATTCTGATGCTCAGGCTACATCCTTGATCAATTACATCACAATCTCTGGGCACGAGACCCAAGAATCAGTCTTTTAAAAACTTCTCCACGGGTTCCAATGAACAGTCACAGTTAAGAACTATTGGACCAGAGGAAAGAGAAAGATACTCCTACCACATGGAACTCAAGATCACATGCAATTTGAGTCCATGCAATTATCCTAGAACTGCCAAGTCCCCAGCCCTGCCACCAGTTCCCAGCCAAGGGAGGAACTGCCCTTCCCTACATTCATTATTTTAGCTGTTAATTTCTCTTGACATTCCCCCCACTTAAGATGCCTTCGAAGTTCACATAACTTGTTTTATCTTTATATAATGATTTTTGTTGTTGTTGCAGGTCATTGTTTATTGTGCTTTTTAAAAATAGTTTATTGATTTTGAGAGAGAGAGGAAAGGAGAAGAGAGAAACATCAATGTGAGAGAGCAATATCGATCGGCTGCCTCCTGCATGCCCCCTACTTGGGATTGAGCCCACAACCCAGGCATGTGTCTCAACTGGGAATCGAACCAGCGACCTTTCGGTGCATGGGACGATGCCCAAGTAACCGAGCTGCATCACCAGGGCCATTATTTATTATATTTTTGACAGCAGGGTGAATAAGCACTTTTTTTAAAAAAATATATTTTATTGATTTTTTACAGAGAGGAAGGGAGAGAGATAGAGAGTTAGAAACATCGATGAGAGAGAAACATCGATCAGCTGCCTCATGCACATCTCCCACTGGGGATGTGCCCGCAACCCAGGTACATGCCCTTGACCGGAATCGAACCTGGGACCTTTCAGTCCGCAGGCCGACGCTCTATCCACTGAGCCAAACCGGTTTCGGCTGAATAAGCACTTTTTAATCACAAGTTATCACCCTCATGAGGGTTCACAGAATGTTCATATGTTACAAAATCTGAATCAGTTAGGGCAATGGTTCTCAACCTTCTGGCCCTTTAAATATAGTTCCTCATGTTGTGACCCAACCATAACATTATTTTCATTGCTACTTCATAACTGTAATGTTGCTACTGTTATAAATTGTAATGTAACTATCTGATATGCAGGATGGTCTTAGGCGACCCCTGTGAAAGGGTTGTTCGACCGCCAAAGGGATCTCGACCCACAGGTTGAGAACCGCTGAGTTAGGGGAAAGTAAGCATGAAGTCTAGACATACTTTCAGTATAGAATACTGGTCACAAAGGTTTATTTGGTCATACTCTTTTCTCAGAGCATGCTTGCCAACCCCTAAGCAGAAAAATATCTTTTCTCTTTGAGCAAAAACATCAACTTCTTCCTTTAGCCCACTGTGAAGTTGCTGGGACCTGGAATTCGATATGAGAGCACAATTCTAATTCAGACCCCCGACCCCTCCAAAAATGTCATGGCAGAAGGCTACTTTTGCAATCCACATTCTTATTCTCTAGTAAATAAACCCAATGAGCACCTGAATTTACTTACTCACAGGTGGGCATATCATTTTTAAGTAAGGAAGGAAGACAAACAGAACTTCTAAGTGCAATTTTCATTTAAAAAAGAGTTAAATGGTTTGAGAAAATTTTTTCAGAATTTGAGAGACAGAACCACATAAGTCATCTGGTGCCAAAGTCCCACCCCTTGTAACAGCCGTGACAGCATTTCCTTGACCATTTCCAGCCCATTATCTCATAAAACAACCTTTTCCACAATTCAATAGTTTGAATTGTGAGAGAATTCTTTCAATCATGTGTTTAAATCTGCCTCTCTAAAATTTCTACTGTCCATCTGCCCAACAACCCAACACAAAATGAGTCTGTTCCCTTTCTCACTCAGCATTCCTTCAGACATGGAATGACACCATTTCTTCCTTTTTCTGTTTTGGGGTCAAGCTTTCTCATTGTCCTCACTTGTTTCCTTAATAAATGATTTCCAAGTGCCTGGTCGTTCTGGCCATTTCCCTTTGCACAGGCTCCAATTTATCAGTGCCCCTCTCAAAATGTAAGCTCCAGGGGTAAACTCAACAGCAAACAAGTGTCTTGACAACTTTGTTGTACACCACCACTGACACTCCTTTCGTTGCGGGTCTGTGCCCGGACTAAGATGGTGTTCGTGTCTTGATAGCTCTGAGTTGACTCCCATTTAGAAGATATGGATTTTAGTGATGTCCTGAATCCCCTGCCTGATATTACATGAGGCTATACAATGACTAGGGGAAAATTATGCTGCTCAATGTAGGACTTCCCAGGCTTCTAATATTTTCAGGAGAGCTACCAATGAAGGCAAGAATTTCCTCTTCCTTGATGCTTTTCCAGATGGGGTGAAGGGCTTACTTTATAAACTGAATTTCAGGTTTTGACTTGATTTAATGGCTCTTTATCAGTAAGCCCTCCTATAGGAGCTGAGAAAGATCTTTCTAAGAGCAAACAGGAGCAGCTAAGAGCAGCTTCTCAAAACCTCCTAGTTCTTTCCAGGTACAATCTCAGATGCTAACTCTCAAGTCTCCCTGCTTTGGGTGCTCATTATCTTTTTTCTTTTCCTTCTAAACAGTATCCACACTTTAACGCAGGGTGAAATGGGACTCTGCAAACACCAGAACTGTAGCTCCAGTTGGCCAAATGTATTCTACCAAGACCTCAGGAATTCCCGGCTCCTCTTGTTCCAGCAAGTACGACTTTCTGACCTGCAGGGCATCCACTAAGGTTTGTGTTTTTCAGTAGTCATCCCAAAGTACGAGATGATCTAATCTATCTAGATCCCTCCTGCTTTACTTTAACTTGTTACAGGCAAGCAGGATGGAAAACAATGTGAAACTAAGGCGGGAACACTCCTGACTCGGGAATGTTCTGTGGTTGTCACAGTTTATGACTCAAGGCATTTGTAACCCTAGTCACTTCTGCATGTCTTTAGCATGCTGCCGTCTATCCAAAGAAGATGCAATCAAGAAGCATGTGTCCAGGGAATGAAGTGGCTGGTATTATAGGCCTTCCCTGAGGTCTCCCACCTACACCCAGATGCACAGGATATGCGACATCTGTCTCTGACCAAACGAACCAGTTCTCTGCTTTGCCCACATAGGACACAGAGAATGCATCCATTTCAATAGGAAGAGAGGCAGAACCCCTGGGTATAGGCCAGGGAACCTGGACATGTGGTGGGGAAGGATGAGGGGGTTCTTTTCCGGTTGCTCTTATTCCCTCGGTAGAATGAGCTAAAAAAGTAAAAGTGAAGATGTATGGTAAGGTTTGATTGTTTTCTGAAATTAACTGACTAGACTGGTTGAGGTGAGATGGTGAAGTAATGAGATTGATCCCCTAAAAGCCACCAAGAAATTACTCATTATCTCAGAATCATCATCTCTCTCTATGTCATTTTCCAGAGTATATGTAGTCCTTCTTTTGAGTCACCTTTGAAGTGTAATTTACCAGGCACCATCATTTAAATACGAGAAAACTTTGTGTGGAAGTCGCTTTGGAAGACACAGACCAGGAATGACTAAATGGGAAAGATCCAAGCTCCATTTCATTTTTCTGGGTGGAGATGGTGGAAAATTGCCTATAATAGAATGCCTAAGTGCCTTTTGCTGGAATGTGCCCTGAACCCATTTTGTCACAATATAAGATGTAAAGCTGAGCATTTAATCCACATGCTCATCTTCAGTTCTGCAACTCTCCTCTGCTGCCGTGGGTCCCTGTGACTCATCTACAGAACATGACTGAAAGAATGCTGAACTCATCCAAGAAAAATGGGACTCTTTGGGAAGAATGTGGCTGACAGGAGAGTACTTGACAATGAGAAAATACCAGAATTTTTCATGCAGCTCAGGATTTCTTTAGGCCATGCAGGAGTGGAGGAACGTTACCTGCCAATCTCCAGCCCAGGAATGACATGCTGCTTCCAGTGAACGTACTTGTCCAGGAGGTAGGGGCCTAGCCACATTTCGCTAAGGCCAGGAATGCCACGAGTGAGGTTTGGATAAGCTTTAAAAATGTCCTGCTCTCCCTCCTAACTGAAAAATAGGTCAACTTTCAGTCTCAAGGGCTAGAAAGTAACTACTTCAATGATGCCCCTTCCCAATGGTGCTTAGCTTGGGGATTTTACTGTCAGTATTCCCTGGGAGTCGCCCTGCTTGGAGGATATTAAGAAAATAAAAGCAATTCACACCACCTCACAGTAAGACTGGAAACTTCTCATGTAACCATTTTGAGAAAAACCTTGGAAATGCTAAAAGGTGAAGGGGCAAGACCGATTCTGTTCAACCAGAATTCTTCAAGCACTGAATTAGATACATGTTACTTTAGTTCCAATTTTTACTTTAGTTGCTGTTTTAGGTGGTTGATCACCTGAGAGCATCCCTTGATAAGAGATTAGATATTTGTTAAGGTGGGAATTAACCTAGAAAAGCACAGTCTAGATTTTGGAGCTATGAAACAATGCTGTCTCTGTAAAGGCTGTAACTGGGACCCTCATCTTCTTCAACTCTCATCCTAAGCAGTGTCCTTATCTGGAGATTCCCTCTGAGTTTCTTATAAGGACTCAGTAGGAGTGATATTGATTTTACATTATTAATACCACAAAAACTCTCAAAGGAAGTTCCTTCTTGATTGCACAAAAGAGGTTTGACAAGTAGCAAATGACAGCATAGAAGGGAAAGGGGCACACATCTGAGGTTTCCCAGAGATCTTGAGAAAGGGAAGGCATTCTGAGTAAGGAAGTTTTAGTTCAAAATGAGCTATGAGTTGGCTATTTTATTGGGGCATAGGTCAAGGCATGGGGCTTAAAAGTCCTGTTGAGTGCTCCTGGCCCTTTTTCTGGATTTCAGAGAATCATGGTTTGTTATGATCTGCTTTGTTCTAGGAAGGAGAGAGGAAACATGACATCTAATCAAGAAATACTGGAACAGTTCATCTGTTAGAGACTTACATTTCCTGTGGTTGTTCTGAAGGTAGAACTGAAACCAATGAGTAAGAATCAAGGAGAGGTAGATTTCATCTTCATATGTGGAGGAATTTTGCAATAATTAAAATTGCTTGAAAAAGAGGTTGTTTCATTGGGGAATGGATCGCTCTAGCCCCCAACCCTCCCATCACTCTGCATTCAAGCAGAGCTGGGCTGGATATGCAGGGAGCTTTCCACATTGACTAGGACACCAGTGCTGGTTTAACACAGATCCTGAAACCAGGGGAGCACTTTAGCAATATAGACCTACTGGATGAGAATCTAGGATAGAAGGGGAGCCTTGCATTGTGCACTTTTAACAAGCTGCCCAAATGATCTAATGGCAGCTCTCTAGGCACCAAGACTCGACCTGGTGTAGGTGAACCAGTAGTCTGAAAATTTATTCTTTGACCATTTGGTGAATTTTTTATAATCTCTTGCTATCTCCTACAAATCCTTTTTCTCTCTATGTGATTAGGGCAGGGGTGGGCAAACTTTTTGACTCGAGGGCCACAATGGGTTCTTAAACTGGACCGGAGGGCCGGAACAAAAGCATGGATGGAGTGTTTGTGTGAACTAATATAAATTCAAAGTAAACATCATTACATAAAAGGGTACGGTCTTTTTTTTTTTTTTTTTTTAGTTTTATTCATTTCAAACGGGCTGGATCCGGCCCGCGGGCCGTAGTTTGCCCCTGGCTGGATTAGGGCCAATGACAGAAAACCATATTTTACCAGTCTGGAATATAATTTTGGTTGGCAACCACTATTTTAGATGACATTGGAAGGTCTCTGCATATGCTAAGATTTTATTATTTAAGATTAATTCATTAACTCTTACATTGTGCTACTGAGAGAAAGCATGGACTTGGACTAAATGCACTTGCATTGGCTGGGCAGCAGTTTCCTGACCTGGACAGTGTGGTCTGGGAACTAGACTGTGGGATGTCTCTTCTTCACAATCAGGCAAACAGGATATGCTTGACGAAGGGGTTGGGAAGGGCCCCTGTGAACTAGGGGAATGTCTGGGGGGAAAAAAACAAAACACAAAAAAACACCCTGGAAGTCCTTTCAATTCCTATGATTCTATTTTTAAACCTAGCTAAGAACCACAACATTTAGAGTAAAGCCTGATTCTCACTTCCTTGATGGGGCTACAGAAATAGATGCTCCCCAAATCTGGGGGATAAACAAAAAGTCTGGGAGAACAGCCAAGTTTAGTCTCAAGGTCCCCTGTTTTTTTATTCTGCAGTAATAAAGCATTCCTTGTCATTGCTTTGACTGATAACCTTAGTGTGACATCATGGAAGGCCTTTCCTATAATGAAGTCACTTTCATGGGAAAGGGGTGAGTGAGCTATTTGTGTAGAAAGCCTTGTTACTTAAAAACCAAACTCCAGTGAGCAGGGAAATTGCCTCTCTAAAATTGGCCAGAAAGAGCTGAGCTCCCTACTCAAATAAATCTATCTTCTCCAGCCCAACTCCTCACTAACCCCTATTTTTTTTCAGCTGTTATCTTTTCTGCTCTGCAGTAGAAAACCCTCATCTGAAGAAGTGTTGGAAGAAAATATTCTCCTCTCCTCCCCCCTTCCTGCTTGGATATGATAGATTAAAAAAACAAAAACAAAACAACAACAAAAAACTAAAAAACAAAAAACCACAGGTTAGCTCTCTTCTGTAAATTGTTTCTCATTAATTATAAACTTGTGATGAGAAAATAAGTCAGCTCATTAAATGTCCAAGGGTTCAAATTATCTCACGTATTACCTGTTTGATTTAAAATTCAGAGGACTCCACTAGGAATTTCCAAATAGGCCGTGCATAAATGTTAGCACATTCACATATTGGTTTTTTGCATGAAGGAAGCGATGATAAGCAAGAAATTCATCAATGAGTTAGATTTAAAAAAAAAAAAGTCAATAGGTAGAATGCTATGTTCTAAGGCTATGTCTTCACCTCAGTGGGCAGCCTATAGAAGCAAGGCTTTATGTGATCAGTATAATTTCTATATAAATAATCCACTAAAACATCACCTCTGAAAACTCTGTGATGCTTCTGGGAAAGAAGGAGCATGAGAAGGTGTGTGCATAAAATTCATCCTTCCTTTGATGGTTTCCAGTAGCTCTTTCTCCTTGATAACTCCCCACTTGTGAGGTGGAAATTCAGCTGTTTCTTCATTAGTCCTGAGAAGTGGGGCTGGGATAGCAGCGGTTGAATTTTAAATCGATGAAAGGCTTTATTTGCTAGGAGTATGGTGGGAACTCCCCACCTGGAGAAACTCGGGGTAGTGGGAAGCTCCCCCTTTTGAAACAGGCTTCTTGAAAGGAGCGAAGAAGGGGCTGCTGGGTCGGCCTGGCAAGCAGAGATTGCTTGGGAAATGTTATTGCTCTGAAGTCGCCAGAGAGAAGGGAATTTGGAGAGAAGGTCTGATTTTTAAAAATAACCACTGAGTGAAATTTGGGGGATAGAAAGAGACGACCAAAGTATAGTTTAGAGCGTTTGCTGTATGATGTCATGCATGGAAATTCTCTGCTACTGCCTTCCAGACCTCAGTGAAGCTCCACGAGATTTTCAAGGTTTTAGGAACTAGATGGTAATTCTTTGTAAGTGACGCCTATAGTGACTTGGTTTAAGGCCAGAGCCAGCGGGTCTGCTTTTACACTTATTAATCATTCAAAGCAAGTTTTTTTTTTTTTAATGTAAGATTAAGGACAGCAAACACACATTTGAAATACCTATTCTCAATGCTGGGTCATAGTTATAGGGGAGTAAATTTTGAGCCAGATGTCCTGGAGAATTCTCTCTAATAGGCTATTTTAAACTGGCAGCTTATGAAATGGTACATCTTTTACTGTAACTTTTAATTTTTAATAGTATTGCTATTTTAAGAATATATATGTATATATTTGTAACAGAAATTGAGGGAGATTGCGTATAAGATATAAGGGCAAGAGGGAGGAGAAACAAAGGTGTGCCTCAGGAAACAGGTGAGAAAAGCGTTAGCCATTAACTGGTCCATTTTTGTTTGGGTTGAGAGTCTCAGAGCCTCATCTGGGTCTCCATGGTGGAACATGGCGACCCCCATATTTGGATGAAGTTAACTATGATACAGCTGAATAGATACATGGCCAAGTAACTATGATACATGCCCAGATGAGAATCAACAGCAACAAGTTTGTGATTTCAAACAATCATATTAGAATTAACAGAGTGATTTGAAATTTACAGTATCAGGGGAAAAACTGACAATCTGTGGCCTCTGTTAGGTAGACGGTTTGGTTAGTCTTCATACCAAAGTAATAAAAACAGCAAGAGGAGTGCTTTGTGAGCATTCTCAGCGGCACCAGCTTCTCCAAGCCAGTGGTAACCTGGGGTGACAAGTAGGAGCAAAAGGACTCAGTCCAGCTGCCCAGTACCCTCTCTGGGCTGAGTGGAAGACACCCCATGTGGTGTTTGCCCAGTGAAAGCTAGAGCTGTACCCTGGCCAGCTGCTCAGCTGCATTAACCTTTGCACAGATACAGGTGGGATATCCTGGGGCCATTCTACCCCACTTCGGAATAAACATTCTATTCTCTCTGGTATTGAATGAGAACTTAGTCACCCAGGAAAATATGAAAAGAGTAAGGTAAAGGTTCTATCCTTCGCCCTGTTAAATAAAATTCTTTTTAAACATAAGGGTATGAGTAAAACAAGGTCCAAGATTGATGAGAGGTAGATTCCAAAGAAGTTCAGGATGAGGGATGTTGCATTTGAGGTTTTGGCGCAAACTATGAAACCTTGCCTGTAGCTTTGGTATATGCACGCAATTGTGGGTGATGTGAATATCCCTCCAGGCTCCTGGGGCAGATGCCATGGTTAGTTATTTCCTGTAATCTCCAAGGGCCAGAAGGGCACATACTCACTTTTATTTCACACTTATCCTTTTCTTTGAATATGTGGCTTTGGACCTATTATGTATTAAAATAATCAAGTTTGGACTTGAGTCTTAGCCCTTCTAACTCCACTTGATCAAGTCAGAACAAATGATTTTTATGAGAAACCACCTCGGGCTTGAACTAACAGTTTTGCTAATCTTCAGTGAATGATACCTCTAACACTTGTTGTCAGCAAAACCCTTTTTCTTTGGTTCCACTGGTAATAAAACCCATGGAATTCACATTCCTTTGGAGCTGATGAACTAAAAGTAGCAATTCCCTTTTCAATTTTCCATATTCCCTCACTCCTGGCCTGGCACTCCACCATTTCCCAGATCTATGTACATTTGTGACCTGGATTTGAGATAAAAGCCCCAGTCCTGTAGCAATCAATTCCCACCAAATAAAAGCCAGAATAGAAACTCTATAGGAAAATCCTGGAGGTCTGCTGAGCAACAGTCCAAGTGTCTAAGGAAAGTGATGATAGCAAATATAAAAAAACCTCAGTGACATAAGATGCTTTGTTAGAGTCTATGAAACTACAGTCATAAAAACTCTGAAGCCTTCTCAGAAGGGCAAGCAATTTACCTAGTTCCTTGTCCTTCCACCCAAAGGTGTGGCCAGCTTCTTTCAGAGTTTTTCCAGTGAAAGTGAAGGAAGCAACATTGGAGGCAGGTTCTCAGCAAGCTTTCAGGCCCACATCTGAGAACAGGATGTATGGTGAATACACAAAGGAAGAATTTTTTTAAGGTGATTATTAGGCCTTGCAGGTAGGAAATGAAATGACAATTTCTGAACACTGATAACAGATAAAGGAACTTTGACACAGCAGATACCGTCTCCCAAAGGCAGAGGACACAGTCAATACTGGCTCTTTCCCATGGCTGGGCACTGCTGGTGTGGGGTTCTGAGAAGGGCAGCAGGGACTTAAGAGCTAAGATGGGGAACTCAACACACTTAGTGGGCATGTTGTATCTCATTTGAGCCTCAGAACTATGGGAGAAACTAGCTTGCTCACCAGAGCCCCGAGGATCCAAGAGTGCTCAACTTTAAGTGATTTTTTCCATAATATCTAGTTCATGTCACTGGAGATGCCATCTCACAACATATTCTGGTGACCTA